GTTTTCATAGGAAGGCCGTAATACACAAGATACATGATCAATGAGCACTTTTCGTACAAGTTTCATGCAAAATCCACGGCATAAACCGTAGCATAAAGAAAACGTTTGGTCTTACACCTTTACTGTGATACGGATGCTATAAAACAAAGAGGGAAGGCAAATTTAACAACACCACATACAAAACGAAACATCGCAACACGTAGCTTCAGGTAACAACACAGAAAGATCCTCGTGTCCATTTCATACAAATATATATATAAATTTAATAAAAAAACCACCAAAAGTTGTATAATCGATGCTAGGCTACTATCTAATGTGTGATTTCTGATTTCTGCTTAATTGCGTAGTAAAGAGCTGCTACGCAAATGACGAGGGCAATTGTTTCAGAGGAGACAAATGGTTTTTTCGTTAGACCCTGGAAAAGCAATATCACATCTACAAAGCAACAACCGAGGATCACACTGGAAAAGCAAACATACCGGGTGATAGTGCTCAATGGTAAACAAGGGTGCCGTATCAGCATTCTGAAATATGCTTTCTCAGTGCCACTGAATCTGAATAACATTCCACCTAACACTCGAAAAAAGGATACCTTTCTGTAAGCGGCAATGCCATCTTCATCGTAAATCTTAATAGCTACCAGTTGTGCATCAGACTTCTCATGTTCCTGAGACCATGACACCTGAAATGGTTCCTCGCAAAAAAGTTTAAAAGCAGTTCTCAACAAGAAAGTGCCTGCAATAACCCTACGAAACCACCGTATAGTATAGTTCGCTGTGGATGAAGGGGCGTGTCAGGCAGCATGAGTTTGGCGAAAATCCCAATCCCTTCTTCTTCAGTTGTTGAAGCGAGCAAGTAACAAGACTGCATAATGTCATTTGTATCATTGGTTTCCTGAGGCGGTGCTAGTGTAGTGACAAGTGGCGCGCTTACCACTCGCGCGGCGCCGGGTTCGAATCCCGGGTCGACTCCCGCCCAGGCCAACCAAGCCTTCCCTCCGGGGACGGTAAATTGGTACCAGATTCGTCTGGGAGGATAAAACACTGACTTGTACATCGGCTGGCCACCGCAAGTCATTGTATAGGCCACATCGCATTCAATAAGCCACTACGATTCTGAATGGAAGTAGAATGCGTGCCGCATCCCACAAAGGGATTGATCAACGGCGAAGACTTTATCCTTTATCCTTTTCTCATTAGTTTCCTACCAATCGTTGTCACATACCTTCAACAACTGCACAGAACGGGTTTGCCGTCATGACACACTTGACATTTGTGTACTGTCCCACACACCCTTTCATGCGCAGCGAACTAAAGAGCCCTTCGTTCCATACCCCATTATTCATATGACGGTCAAATAGAACAGTATAGTGCGGAATGAAAACAATCGAGTAAAACTACTGAAATGATGTAATTAAATGGATAGACAAAAATCTGTTTAAACTATGGATAAAAACTAAATTAAAATTAAATTGCGGATTAAAACATGACTTAACTTTCAGAAAACACTGTCAGATTAGGAAAAAAAGCAGCACTTCTTAGCCAATATTGCTCTGGCCTTCCAAAACATTCTAGTTTTCCACGGCTTCCTTTCGAAGGCAGATTTAGGGATTTATTACCTCAGGGTAGTTGGAACCCCTGGACATGAATATCACGAAACCGAAACCGTGACGCGAAAACGTCTGGCGCCCATCTTGCAGGTGTTGGCACGACCAGCCTATTTAGACCCCAACGCACATGCAGGCCGTCTCCGGCCAGGCGATATGGATAAACACTCCGAGCCAGGACAGCTCCTTTCTGCGCAAGGCAAGGATTATCTTTTCGCCCCTTTGATATGGTTCCTTTAGCACAGAAAGGGATCACATAAACAGGCCAGGATGAACGCGGTAAACATAAGCAGGTAACCATCGTAATGATGTTTCCCTCTCCCCTCGACTCATATCCTTTAACCACCTATCTGATGTGACGTCGCTACGCATTTACGGCCGGCTACTGCCGCCTGGACAGTAAGCCGCTGTAAATACAATTTAGTTTTCAAAAATCTGACAACTTGAGGTAATTCGGCACCATCGTCAATGGCGTGAGCGTCAGCGGTTTCCTGTCAAACGGTTGCATACTCGTTGGAGAGTCCAAACTTAATTGTGGAGACTAATTTCCAGACAATCTAAATGCTGCCCCGAAGTAGAAAAAATGAAGCAGTGAACGGTGAATGGAGTCAGAAAAAGCTTATTCTGCTTGCCTACCTGATACTTGGCGGTCTCTACGGATACGGCTACGTTGTAAATGTTGCCATTAATAACGGCATAAAAGGGAGCATCCTAAAAATGGATTATTCATAGAGATGTTGACTTGCACTGCGACATAATGTTGGGAGGGTGGCGGGAGATACGGACAGGTCTCATGCAGTGATTCAGTTGTGTTAGAACAATGCGCCAGAAAGATGAGTCGGAGAAGCAATGAATTCGTGGGAAGGAGTGATACACACATCAAAGTGAAAACGCGAAAAGAATGGAAAAAAAAGAAGAGGAGGATTGCACTCACGCAAATTCAAAATTTGTATGATTTTCCGTGAACACTAACCATAAGTAACCTATATCACTTAATCACTAAATTTCAAGTTTTTTTTGCGCTTCTAAAGACGGTCTGATCAACAGGATATTCTGAATGAGGAACAGAAGTCTCTACCTGGTGGTAACATATACTTAGTTATTAGTATTAACATATTGGTATTAGTATTAACGCCATATGCTGAGCTAGATCTCCACACAATGTACCCTTTTCAAAAGCGACAAAAAATCAGACAAAATCAACTCAGCGAGATGTTCTGATTGCGATTACATCTACCTATGTTGCAAGAAGGAAGAGCGATAGGTTTACAGTTATTCTACGCGATGCTCGTGTCGCAGCTGGAAGTCGACACGTGAGGAGGGGACTGTCATATGTCAGGAGGGGGGGACCGATAAACAAGAAAGGGCAGCTACCAAACCATAAACATCGTAAGTGTGATAAGGGGAAGAGCAAAGGCAAACGACATGTGACGACAAGATTAGGAATCTGACATGATGGCATGTATGATGTTACGAATACACACTTTTCTTGCACATGGGACACTAACTGATGGACAAGCAACCAAATAGATTAGAGTTTCACTCAGACGTGCGGAGAACCGCCAAGCAGAGGCAGGAATGGAGAACTAGTGGCTGCTGGCGGAGCACACAGAAGTGATTAATTACGTAAACTGGTTTCAAACACAAACCTTCATGTTGTTACTGCATTGCAGCGTGAATTCTGCGATGAAGGTCGTGTGAAAGTGGAAAAAACCATCGGTAGTTGAAAAGGCCGAAGCCGAATACTTTGGAGATTCGCATTTGAAACCTGAAAATTGAGCAACGTTACAGGGTGACAGTTACTGGTAACTTCAGAACTACACTAACGTAAGCACGTTCAAAGACAGCCCCCGCGCTCGAGTAGTACATGGTCGTCCTTCCTTGTGCAAGTAGTACAGCCCCCAAGCTAGAGACTGTCCCACTCTCGCGACTCCACAGTGAGCGAGGAGCGAGCTACAGCCGCTGAAAGTTCTAGTTCTAACGCCCGCCCAGTTGGACCGCCTTGCTAGATGCCCTCTGACGGAGAGCCGCTCAGTTGTTCTTTGTTGGGGCGGCGGGCATTAATCGGAATTGCATGTCCTTTTTGCTGACCGCGCTCGTGCCCATGAATAATTCTGCTCTCCTTCATTACATTTTATTCATTGGGAGCACATACAGTCAACTCCAACCCATCTCGCAAGGTAAAACTCGACGCACCACACTACACTAAAAGATGCACGCTACCGTAACCCTAAATTCGGACGCCGAGTTTTTGAAAGTTTCTTTTCCTTTTCAAGAGTTTTTCTTCCGTGTTTTTGTTGTTTTCCGTATTCTTTTCTTTGCATTGGATGATATCCACTACTGGGAGATGTGATAAAGGGATTTGCGAGCCAGGGGTTGCAGGCGCGGTGTGACTGTCAGGGAGCAATTTTGTTTATGGTGTTCTTGAGGACTCTTCTTGCTTTTTTTTCTTCTTTGGGGAATTACTTATCAGCTACTGTTTCATAATTGAAAAGCAATTATCCATGACACTTTATCGCGGGAGCTGTCTTTAAGGTTATAATTTTGGCAGTTTTGGGGAATAAGTTCACTCTAACACGCTGAAGTACAGCACGAGCCAAGAAGAGAGTTGAGATAATGCTCCTGTTAGAGCATGTAGCTACGTCACATTTCAATGGTTGCCCTGATGCGTCGGATATGTTTTGCAAGCAAAATTACATCACTGCTAAATATTGTGCATCTATCACAGGATATCTCTCACGACAGTAAAACGGGCCAGCTCTGTAGAAATGTCATCGCTAAAACGTGCTCGCTCTACAGAAAGGTCATCGCTTTGGTGTTGAAAGAGTGCGTTCATGCATCGCGACCCAACCGATTCAGTCAACCAATTGCGACTGCTACTTCGACAGTCTAGCACTGTTTCACTGCGGATGATAGGGCGTGTGCGCGGCTACGTTTGGCGCGGTGCGAACCCATTTCCTTTCTTTTTTGCTTTTGGCATGCGACATTACTACCATTACTGTATCATACTATTTGTATCAGTCGTTTTTCACCAGTTGTGTCACTTTCCCGCTCAAGCAACAGGAGGAGAATGGACTTGGCGGTGTTCCAAAAGCAGACACGACCCATCATCCACAGACCAGGCTGTATGTCAATGAAGACTTTCCTATCACGCTGCTTTGCAACCCCTCTAGGCGTCTAAGCCGCCAATCTTTATTTGAACTGGGCCAAAAAGCTGAGATATCATCCTTTGAATGCAGTTAAACTAGGACTCGCAGCGGTCCAATGATCAGCAACAGAGCATTGTTGGTTACTATCAAGACATGCCAGGGAGTTAGTGGAGTCACGAAATCCTAATTAACAGATAATCCAAGCCTTGTTGAACGAACTCACCCAAAGCGACAGCAGCCAATGACAGCAACAAGACGATCTGCATCACGTCACAATTACCTGTAAATTGTATAAGCTACAACAGTGGGTCCATATTTCGCGACCAGTCCCTCGATTTCGGCGACCAGCCGCGAAGTATGAACGCACTCTACGACGAAGCCTGTAGCGGATTCACACCAGATATGAGCTTCCACGACACGCGCTCGTTCTAGGGACAGGATTCAAATGGAACGCGCTTTGATGAATACAATGAACTGCAGTCACTACTGCTCACAATCCTATGATTAAGAAATAGTGCACAGCTAAGAAGGTATGGATGTCGATCTAGCGTTCCGAGGTATGCCAGCGTATAGCAGCGTTTTGAGCGGCTGGGCCATCTATCACTTCAAGCGTACAAACCCGTTCGAAGCGTTTTCGCTGACACTTGTTGAGACTGACCAAAACTGCGCGCCTGAACCCCCACAACCCGCCGGAATCGCTGATCTCAGGACATCTGTCAACCGCGGAGCCTTCCTCCTCCTTCTTCCTTCCTTCCTCCTTTCCGTTTCTTATTTCCTTCTCCCATTCATCCTCCTTACTTCCCTTCCTCTAAAGCGTGACCTGAAGAGGCCATGAGAAAGCACTTTTAGACCCTCGCAGCGAGGGAGCATCCGGTTGCCAGATGCCTTGTAACCCTGTTGCACAACGATGTACGCTAAGACGATACCTATAGTTTTCTAGTTGTTGGCGCTGTACGCTTCAAACGATCGACACGCAGACGTACGCTGAAGCAAAGTATGAACGCAGCCTGAGATATCTTTCCAGGAGCTCCAAAGGCTCCTAATTTTTCAGTGCACATCCCTGTACCGTGCACTTTCTGGCGGTTCCTAACCATTTCTTTGTATTCTCTCTTTTCACGGCCTCTCGCAGTTTCAATCATCTCTTCGAATATTCTCTTCTCTTCAAATCGTGTTTTCTTCGCGACTCGTGTATGTTGCAACAGTAATGTTTAACCCTTGGAACAAAATAACACCAATCGCCAAAAACACATCAGCGCGGGCTCTAATAGAGCCTTATTAGGTTGGAATGTAATACAATCTCAGAGATAGCCATCCTCCTAGCTTGAACTCAGGTCACAAAGTTCAGTTTCAAGTCATGTATCTACGGTTATTGTCTCATTGCCTGGGAAAACGGAGCACTTCACTTCGTGCGGAGTACAAACTAGAAACCGCTTTATTGAAGCTGTGTAGCATTTCAGTCGCAAGGATCAAGCATATTAGCCGAGCCAAATGTGGTTAAAAAACCCACACACATATTCATGAGCAAGGTTCAAAAACGAGTGAAATGTCCACCAAAGAATGATACAAGACTGAATAAAATTCGAACCCCTTCGCAGCCAGCAGGCCCTCTGGCAACTTTCCAATTTGACGGTATCTTGCAGTCCGATAATTGTTCGTGGGAGGACCAAGTCGCGCGCGAGCGGCTATGACCTTTAGAAAAAGTTGAATCGTAGTGAGCTGAACTTTGGTACTTTCTTTAGCTCAGTTATACGACTTTGTTAATGTTCCTCAGGTGGCTGAGTTTATCTGTTTCAACGTTTTCATTCGCTCACCCGCCTTGCCTTACTCCTATACATTCTAGGCTAGGCCTGTTTTCAGTAAAATGTAGACATTTCACAAACGTTCTCAGCATGCTTCTTTTTCATCGCTTGCAGTCATTTGAGATCAGTCAGACGTCTAACGAACGTCCACATAGTGGAGAGCTACAAGGCTTGCTCACAATTACATCGTTTTTGACTAGGTTCCTTATTATGGCGTGGTCGAAATGACACTATATAGGTTGTCCAATCACTTGATATCGATCGTATCTGATAGATATAATGCTTATTTGCTCATCTCGCACTGACAGGCACTAAGTCACAACATGTTTGTCTCACGATACGACAAGGCGAGTTGTCAAAGTCTGCAAAAACCTTTGTTCTTACTTTTCGTCGGAATTTCGAGCGTTTTCCATAAGTGAAGTACAGATGTCGATCTAGCGTTCTGAGCACCCCTGGAGAGCGCAAAGGACAGTGTAGGTGTCGATCCAGCGCTTGAGAGAGGCGCCAGAATTTTTCCAGAAACGCCGGTCTCTGAGCTTTTTCAGCGTTTCGAGTATGAGTAAAAGAAATTCTTTGGGCATCAATCTGCCGCCGAGCGTACGACAGAAACCCCAGCATTTTGGTCGAGAAGGAAAGTATCGGTGTCGATCTAGCGTTTTGAGCGACCGTGGCGCTTTGCTTGAAGCGCTAGATCGGTACTAAACTTTCCTCTTTGCCCGAAACCCATTGAACTCAAAACGCCGACGAAAAGTATGAACGCGCTCTTAGAGCGCGGTCAGATCCCGATCGCGCGATCCATGAAGTCTGAGCGCTCTAAGCTATCCTGTGTATGTATGTGATTTAGTTGTTCTGCGAGTCTTCTACTTTTTCCTCATAATGTTTCTGTTTCTTCCATCACTTGTTTCACCCCCAATTTTTCAAGTGCGTTTGCTTGCGCAATCTACGAAAATCTTACTGGTGACTGAAAAAGCTGGTATTTCAGGTAGATTCAATCTAACATTGTAGCACTCATGAGCGTAAACCAAGAAGTAAGAATACATGATGTTTGGAATTCGAACGTCGAGGAAGAGTTTGCAAAAATGAGGACTCTCATTGACGTATGCCTCCTTCTATTTCCAAGAGATGCCAAATCCAATATAAATGTTGCTTTTCAGGACTATCCTTTTGTTGCGATGGATACCGAGTTCCCAGGAGTTGTCGCTACTCCTTTGGGCACTTTCAAGAGCAAGGAGGATTTCAATTACCAGCAAGTATCCTGCAATGTTAACATGCTCAAATTGATTCAGGCAAGTTGAAGAAGAAACGAGTCCTCCGCTTGAATACTACTTATATCTGATTCAGGTTGGATTCGCGTTGGTCGATGAAAAAGGAGATCTCCCACCAACAGGAGACGTGTGGCAGTTTAATTTCCACTTTTCGCTTTCGGACGATATGTATTCACAGGAGAGTGTTGAAATGCTCAGAGCGGCTGGAATCGATTTTACTCGTTTGCAGGTTTGCATCGATCGTTTATTATTGGGATATTTCGTTCGTGTTATTCCAGCTCAAATTTTAGAATGAGGGGATTTCTATGGATATTTTTGGCGAGTTGCTGACAACGTCAGGCTTGATTGTGGACGATCGGATAACATGGCTGACCTTTTCGTCTGGGTACGACTTTGGGTATCTCTTGAAGTCAATAACCCTTGGTGAACTTCCGAAAGAGGTACTAATAACGAATTTACTCATGATCACTGACAAAATGGCTACTTAGTCGAACTTATAGGAATCACAGTTCTTTCAATTCCACCGAGCACTGTTTCCCCGCTGTTATGACATTAAACTCATGCTACGGATGCCTGGGTCATTCAATACCAAACTCAAAGGAGGTCTACAAGAGGTGCCTAAATTTTGCTGTTCTCTTAGGCTGCGTTCATACTTTGCGTCAGCCTACACCAGCTCCAGCGATTAGGAAAGAATTGATATCGATCTAGCAAACGCCAGCGTCCACCAGCGTATGCCAACGAACGCCAGCGTGTCGAGGGACAAGGAGTGAATAGGTATCGATCTGCGAACGCCAGCGTACAGCAGCGTTTTTGCGGGCCTTTTTGAAATTGAGCAACCCCTGAAGACGCCGGTGGACACTGTTGTTCGCAAATCGACACCTATTCATTCCTTGTATCTCGAGACGCTGGCATACACTTGTGTATGCTGGCGTACGCTGACGCAAAGTATGA